CAGCTCCGACCCGCTGCTCAGGTGGACCCAGAGAGTGTGTTACTGTGTGTGTGTTACTGTGTGTGTATTAGTGTGTGTATTAGTGTGTGTGTGTGAGGGGGTTCTGCTCATCCCTCGTTCAGTCGGTCAGAGCAGCAGCTGAATCGATGACATCATCCATCCCCGCGGTGACAGATGATGCTGCGGAGGAGGAGGGGGTCGTTGCCGTGGTGATATCCCTGCCTGCGTGTGATTGGCCGAGGCTGGCGGTGATGTCACACATCTCCAAGCTGCTGTGCCGATCTTTGAACAGAGGCAGAGATGGAGGCAGGCGGACGGAGGGGCAGCTTCAGCGCCAATGAACGGAGAGATGCTGCCCGGTTCTGATCCGCAGCTCAACCACTCACCCTGCTGCCAGAACCAGAACCTGGAGGGGATGCCGTTCGGGTGTCAGAGCTGAATCTGTAGAGGGGAGGTCGTTTCACCTGAGGGCCGTCATGGAGTGGGAGCAGCGGGGCAGAACCCGCTCGGAACCGCTGCTGGGCCGAGACCAGATCCTGTGCTACATTAACATGCAGAGACCAGGTAGGGCCTGCGGAGGGCGCTCTGATGGGTTCTACTGGGCTCTGGACCGGGTGACGCAGCATCAGCTCTGCTGTCGTCATGGTAACCGGCTCATTTGGCTGATGTCATCGTTTATCAGGATTCCCCAAATAAACATTTCATCTGGTTTTACAGCTTAAAGAAGGAATCAAACTTTTCACTGTTGTTCCATAAAAAAGCCTTAAGACGCCCACTTCCTGTCTCACTTCCTGTCTCACTTCCTGTCCCACTTCCTCAAACTTGACCACGAAATCTGATTCTGGTGGAAAATGTCAGATTATTTTAAATATTGGTGAGTTTATCACTATGAAGCAGAAACGTTACAGTAACTGAAGCCGGAATATTTTCATGTTTTACATCTCAGAGCGACGGTTTGGTGACGAACAGAGCAGGACGGCTAGCATCCAGCTAGCATCTAGTTAGCGTCCAGCTAGCGTCTAGTTAGCGTCCAGCTAGCGTCTAGTTAGCGTCCAGCTAGCGTCTAGTTAGCGTCCAGCTAGCATCTAGTTAGCGTCCAGCTAGCGTCTAGTTAGCGTCCAGCTAGCTGTCCTCTTGGCATCAAACCGGCCTCATGTCAACATCTGATGACATCACTCTGTGTTTCCTGATTGATTTGCTCCAGACGTGTAGACAGAATGGCGACTTTGCGGCATTTTACAGTTTGCTCAGAATTGGCGTGAGATCTGGATGTTACCATGGTTACTAAGGATTCAGAAAGGAGGAAGTGCCTCTGGCTTTCTCCTCCAATCAGAGCTCAGATCTTCTTAATGTCCAGAAGAGACGATTTATCGGCTGGTTACCATGGTTACTACTCAGAATAACTTCTGTAAAGATCCGAGTGTCACTTCCTGTCTGAAACCAACAACCTGGTTGAATAAAACATTTGAATCCTGTTCTGTTCTGTGTGGACCAGTCAAAGTAAAACAGTTTTTAGTGATCCAGCGGGTCAGAACATCAGATGAACAGTTTCCTCTGGCTGTTTTTAGAGCAAATTTCTGTTTCAGAACGAGTCGTTCTAAAGGTCCCGGCAAAAAGAGTAAAAAAAAAAAACCCAGCATCCTGAAGACGAGTTTTATCTGCATGTTCCACTTCCTGCCGCATGATCTGAGGTTTTTATCTCTGACCGCTTGTCTTTCAGCAGAAAACTGACAAAACTAAACCGAAAGCAAAAGCTGCCTTTTCTGATTTCCAAGAACAAACCTGATAATGTGCTGAGCTGCAGGCGGTGAAACTCCCTGCAGGTCTGAGATTAACGGGAGGCGCTGCGGCGCGCCGTTAGCTTCCGGGAGGCGCTGCGACGCGTCGTTAGCTTCCCTGAGGCGCTGCGGCGCGCCGTTAGCTTCCGGGAGGCGCTGCGACGCGTCGTTAGCTTCCCTGAGGCGCTGCGACGCGTCGTTAGCTTCCCTGAGGCGCTGCGGCGCGC